TTTAGTAGAATTTCTTGTTTTTGAGTCAAAATTACAATAGTAATGTTGGTTTTTTTAGCAGAATATGTCCAAAAGCCCCCATAATTAAGTCAATTTCTGATTAGGATAATTATGACATTTAAAGTGAAATTATAAGGTAAAATTATAAAATTATAAGAAGGTATTTTATTTAATGTTCGTAAAGTCTAATGGTTAGTAAAGACTAAAAGAATCATTAATTGCTAAAGATTCTTTTCCTATATTTGCAATTTTGGCTTTAGTTTGGCTGACAATCTCACAAAGGTACTGTCCTCTTAATTAAGGCAACTTTATATATATATATATATATTATATATATATATATATATATATATGAATAAATTAGTATTGATATATTATACATTGCTTAATGTTCAATAATTGAAGGGTTATAATAAAGAATATCATTTCTAAATTATCTTATTTTAATTTTCAAACTATATGATTTATCGCAAATAAGATTACAATCATGCAAATAAAAATGATATATGGTTTGAATCTCCCTCTAGCGACATGAGCCATAAGAAGGGTGGTACTTAAATTATTGTTAGACACATTAGGAGTAGTTGGAGACTTGTATAATAGCCCTTACCATTCCTTTAATATATATATGTGTGTGTGTGTTATATTTTTTGCTTAAAGCATGTCGTATAAGCATTTTAAAGTAATTTTATTTATCAACAATCACATTTTTAAAATTAATGCTACTATGGCACTAAAAGCTAAAAGAAATTATGACAAAAAAACAGCTAAACTTTTAAATAATTACAAACACGTGATTTATCAAATATTGCCATCTTATACTTGTAAAGACTTTGGGGAGACCTCTTGTATTGGGAATTGCAATATTCCTATACTAAGGAATTATGGGTCAATTAAAACGTTTTTTCACATGATTATTTTCACAAGTTAATATTGATTTCTTCTGTTGAAGGCTAACTTGTTTGATATGGGATTCCAGTACATGCATGCCTCATGCTTCATTTTCACAGGTTCTCTTTGATAAATACAATAATAATAATAGGAATAATAATTCAATTTAGTGTTTTTATTATATTTTAACCACAAATAGTTTTTTTTTAATTATTTTATATGTATGTATGCATGCATGCATGCATGTATGTATGTATGTATGTATGCATGTATGTATGTATGTATGAAGAATGGATTCATGTGTGAATGTGAGGAGATGGGTTCAACCCTTCATGGGAAACATTGAGGTCCCCGTTCTTATGAGTGAGTAATAACTTGGGGTGAGGTGTAATTAATTTCCCAAGGGATGGTGACATATCAAACTTTTTGAAATAAATTATTGGGATATATTCAGGCAATATATTTGAAGTGGGTTTCATTAATTAAAGCGTGTTTCCAAGCTTTCTATTTAATTTGTAGAAAAGCACTTTTTTTTATAATTTCAAATTTGAAGTGAATTTTTCAAGTTTATTATTATTATTATGGACATTTACATATATACCTCCCAATTCATATGTATTTATATATCTAACACCTAAACTATGTTTTTGACATTTATACCGTCCGAATATATCTCTAACACCCAAATAAAGGAAGAGCAAACTGGAGCAAATAAAATAAGAGAAAGAAAATATCACCAGAGACCTAAAAGGAAGACATCTGTTCATGCTATTTGTTAAGATTCATCTCCACACCATGATTATATATAGAACAAAAATTACACCGTACTTAAGAAAATATTTAGAGAGATTATGTTTCATATAAATAAAGAAAGACATATCACTTTATTTAAGATAATGATTTAAAAATAATAAAATCACCTATTGTGAGGATGCATGATATATATAGAGATAAAGATATTGATGCCACAACTCTCCTCTCTTGTCTGTTGCAAAATCATCTTCATCACCTCAAATGCCTCATCCTCTTCCCTCTTTATTTTTCGTGATTATAGGATGCTTACAACTAATGATTTCTTCTTCTTTTAATTATTTTAAATGATTGTGCTTTTTTAATAGCACCAAACAACTTTAGAACATCCTGATGTTCTTTCGTAGATTGGATATGTATTTACTAATTGCCCACACTAATTGTGTAATATCTAGTTTTATGTGGATCATTGCATATCTATAAGATTTAATGGTTCATGCGCAGACTTTCGTCATGAGCTCTTTTTATAATTTTTTGTATAAAATTTATTAGATAATCTGAAGTAACTATTCATTAATGTATTTAACGTCTTTGCCTTTATCATATTAAACTTACTTAATAATTTCTTAATATAATAATATTATTATGAAAGACTTAGTATGTTGATGATCATGTTATGATTTATTTTCATTTCAAGAATCTTCTTAACTTTTTATTGATCATTCAAGCAAATCTTCTTTGATAATCATCTCTTCAGATAATTAACCCTTCGAATATTGGCACTCATAATCAACATATCAATAACTTATCATTATGAAATAATAAAATATTTATATGTTTCTTTGAAATAGTAGGAGTGATTGACATTAAAATATGAATTTAATCTGGTATATGAATCCAACATATAAATTTTTTTATTTAATTTATATATAAGGCTAATTTATTTCTTAAATTCAATAAATCCTTCTAATTGTATTGTGTAGACAATTGCTTCACTATCTTGACATTTATTTATACAATCTATAGGTTTTCTTGCTACTACATACAATCTTAATAATAAACAAATAGCCCATTTAAATTTATTTTTTACATAATATAGTCAAACATTGGCATTTGCTATTATCATTTTATTAAGGTGTTACAAAGTGTCAATCTACTCCTATTTTTAACTGACTAACTAAAACTTTATTCAATAATTAATAGAGTTTTCTTTGATGCATATAGTCCTCTTCCTTTTTTTATTTTTTGTGATATTAGGGTACTTAGAACCATTAACTCCGAATTATTTTTCATCTGCCTATCCTTAGAGGCAGAACCAACATTATCTTTTAGAGCAGGCAAAATCGCTAAATGTCTATTTTTTTAAGTCCAAGGCAAAAATATATATTGGGGGCCTAAACTGCATAAGAAAAAAAAAAAATACAAAAATTTATTATTTATATAGAGAAATCTCAAATTTCTGATAGCAAGACAACTGCCCATCCTAGCTATAACCTGGTTTCCTATCATATAGAAACAGGCAGAAAGGATTTGAATATGAATGGAGCTTGCAAGACGACCGCCAAAACCTTAAAATATTAATTGTGAATTAAGTTATGTTGTCCTCATCTTAAAAAGTGTGAGTTATGCAGTCACCATCAAATGTGAATAAATCTTAATGATAGTCACCAATCTTAGAAAATCAAGATACATAATACCTTATTCAAAAATAATATATATATAAATGGTACAATACATTAAACATTAAATAAAATATCATGTTTAAAGTTGTTATGATTGAGCTTATTTTCCATAAACTAATTCTAATTTTCTTATTATTAATAAATTAAATTACTATAAAAAAGAGTTCTAAACTTTGTTGGCCACATACCTTAAATAACGTGAAATTGGTCTTAGCTTTTTATTTCATTTTTTATTTATATTTCTTTATTATTATTATTATTATTATTATTATTATTATTATTTTGATTTAATTTATTTTTAGGAATGTAGCCAAAGACTTTAGGTCAAATTTTACTCTGCTACGCATTGTTTGGAGTTCAGGGGGCAATGGGAACAGTTCTCTGATAAAATCAACCGGCTTATAATTTCGCTATCATCGCACAAGTTCAACTTCATTTGTTTTTTGTAATTTCTTAATCAATATATACTGAAAAACTCATTTATCTCATTCTTCCCCTGTTCTTATGGCTAACTCCTGTTGTTTTTTCTAACTCTATGTTATTGTTTAATCTTTTATTATTAACTCCATATAAATAAATCAATGAATGTATTATAATATACATATATGATTAAAAAACCAATAAGAAAATATAATAAGTTAATATTACTTTGACAAACATAGGGTCTGTTTGAGGTAGCTTATTGAATAATCTGCTGATAAGCTGATTAAAAATAATCTGCTGATAAGTTAGGTGCGGTGCCTATTACAAATTTTTATTTTTTACAAATTTTTATATTTTTATTTTTTTGGAAAAGTCAGACCATTGCTAATAAGCTCCCACCACACCTAGATAGGTGCGGTGTGAAAAAGTTATTTTCTACGTTTTGAAAGCACATAAGCTGCCAAAATACAATTTACCCAAACAGGCCAGATGTGTTTTCAAAACACCACCGCACCAAATGAGCTGCCCCAAAAAGTTAGATAGTTAGTTTGTCAATAACACTCAAAAAACTCGTCTCATGTATCATTCAAGGAACTCACCTATTGTAATCAAATTTAGTTAGAATGAAAGGAAATTCGTCTAACATTTAGACCATACTCAACCTAGTAGTCGAACGCTATGGACGAATCTAGAGTAAATCTTTATCCCACTAATTGAGGTTAATTAAATGATTTTTCTTTCTCCATTGTCCTAATAGTGTCATAATTTAATTTAATTCTAATAAATTAATATCATTTTTTATAGTCTTTTTAGGTCTACCTATACAATTTTTAACACAAGTCAAATTTAATATAACTGCTCTCCTAATAGAATTATCATATTGTAAATGTTTAATGTGACCAAATCATCTAAGGCAACTCACTCTAATATTGCCCGTCACTAGAGCTACTCCAACCCTTTCACTGATATAATTGTTCCCCATTTTGTCCTGAGTGTAAAGTCATTCGTCCACCTGAGCATTCTCATCTCAGTAAAACTTAATTTTTTGTTTCTCTTTTACAGGCCAATATTCTCTCATGTGAACCATAGACAAATCCAGATCCAACAAAAAATATATATATATATATATATCCACATATGTAGTTCTAGATCACACATGTTAAGAATATCACCGTCATTTCATTGCTTCCAAAGTTCAAAAAAAAAAAAAAAAAAAAAAAAAGAAAATCAACCCCACAACAATTTGAATTTCCCTTTCTCTGTTACTGCTTTATTCTAAATATCCAAAATAACTATTTTACTCAATTAAGATGTTAAATATAATAAACTACATTCATTAGATTAAATAAAAATTATTTACAATTTGTAAAATTTGTCATTTATTGGACATACCTGATAAGTTGATCAAATCAGGCAAAAAGAATAATAACCCATCCATCTCTCACAGACCTACTGAAGGGTTGCTGGAGCCGGCAGCTATAACACCCAGTCCACCTCCCTGCAGTGAAGCAGTTTCAGCTTCGTCTCTTCGAACAACAGATGGCACTGCTGATTCACCACCATTAATCCGTCGCACGAGCTCGTCGATCTTTCGAAACTGATAAGGCCATCTTGAATTATAAAGGAACTGACGGAGATCGAATCTGTTGTCTTCAGGAGAGTAGCTCTGCAAGTATTGAGAATTCTTCAAATTTTGAACACAGGAAGGTTAGTTAAAAAAAGAGGAATGTGGGAGTGAAATTTGTGATACTTCAGCATGGTAGGAAGGTGTCAAAACAGTCATCTTGTGCCGATTGATGGAGTAATATTTGAAGAAATATTTCACTTTTTCGGCCACTTCTGATGGAGTAAACTTTCCATACCATTTATGGCAGAGATTCTGCAAGATTACACAGAAAAAGGGATGAGGAAAATAGTTTGAATCAATAAGACATGAAGATTCGATCTTTCCACTTTTTTGGCCACTTCTGATAATATAAAAATTTTGATATTTTTAGTGCTAGGTAAGCAAATCACCCTTTCAAAGATTATATTTGTTTAAAGGCTATTGCAGATAGAAACAATAGATAAAAGATAACGGGATAATCTATTCCTACCCAAAAAATCTCATTCCGTTTAGAAAATTTGCGCCTTTCAGTGATCAGTTTAAGGAAAATTTACATACATACCACTAAATACTCATGAATTTACATATCTAACACCTAAACTTCTAAAAAGTTAAAATGGTGATATTTTTCATGTGATGTGAAAGCTTTGGGTGTTATAAATGTAAAAAGTAAAGTTTGGGTGGTATGTATTTAAATGCCCCCAAGTTTAATGATGGCTACTAACAGCATTGCCCAGTAGTGACGAAATGAGAAACAAGTTAAACTAAGATAGAAACATAAAAACAGTTTTTGAAAGACGAAATAGAGATAGGAAAATAACCTGAAACATCGACACAGGACCACAGCGAAATATTTTTCGCAGCCTTCCATAAACCGACAATTCCTCATATGTCATGCCCATGTCCACTTCATCCAACTGCAGGTATCAACAAAAGCCATTTAAACCATAAATGACTTGTATCTATCGAAATAAATCATAATTAGAAATTTACCAACCACACTTGATGAAATAAAGGCTTGCTTGTTATTGCTGAATAATTAGAAATTCTGCTCCTCTATGACTTCTTCCACCTCTAATAATAACTCACAAGAGTTCTAACATAAAAAGGGAAATTTACATAGCTAGCACACAATTCTTATGTATTTACATATCTCACATCTAAATTTTCATATTTACATGCACAGCACTTTGGTGTTTTAAACATATTCATGAAAAGGTCTATTTCACCTTTAAAAAGTGATAAAAGTGCTATTTTTATTGTGATATTAAAGATTTGAGTATTATGTGTGTGGATATGAAAGTTTAAGCATGAGATATGTAAATGCATAAGAATTGTGTGCTATGTATGCAAATGCCCCATAAAAAAAATATGTGATCCCTTATAAAATGATCTATCCCACATAGCAATAAGATGACATACCACAATATTGGTACCTTTGATCCTATAGGTAGATCATCAATCAAGATTGTCAAAACAATCTCATCAAAATTGATGGTGATGTAAAATAATCACGCTTATTATAGAATAAGACTTCTGAATATACATGAAACAATAAAAGTATTTATACATATCAGAATAATTAACATAGTTTCTAAACATCTTATGAGAAATAAATGCTTCTTGGCAAATCATAAAAATGAAAGAAGACTTAATTAGGCATAATCTCAAATGGAGTAATGGATACTAGCTTATGTAATAGGTTGGTATATTTTAGGACCAATTGCATGCATACCACAGAACTATTATGTATTTACACGTCTAACACCTAAACATTCATATTTACATACCACTCAAATCTTTAATATCTCATCAAAAATATCACCATTAATACCTTTTTAAAGGTGAAATACATCTTTTCATGCATAAGTTTATGACACCAAAATGTTATAGATATAAATATCAAACTTTGGGTGTTAGTGTGTAAAACATAAGAATTGTGTGGTAGGTATGTATATAAATTTCTTTATCTTCTAATATGTTCCCAACTTTAAGCTTATCTTTAGCAAATGAAAATATGTTTGAAAGCAACAGAAATTTTGACTACTAGGATATGTCCTTTTATGTCATATTCACTTTGAGGCAATAAATACCTTATTTCCAAATGTTAAAAAACTGGTTAATCAAGCTCATAGCACTAAATTAATACAAAAAAACATTCCAGCTTCAGATAGAACTACTAATAATATATTAAAAAGAATGGTATCACATTCCTGAACTCTTAGATCATTCCAAACCTTACAATCCTCAAACAACTTTAAATTAGTAAAAAGACAAATATTTAGACATCTCCATAATGAGCGAGATGAACACCAGCTTCTTATTAGCAAGCCAAACATGAATTGCTCATGAAAAAAAAAAAAGCTTTATTACAACAGTAATTATATTCAATCTACTAAAAATACATGATCATATTATAATTCATTATAGTACACCAAATAAACAAAATGAGAAATGTACAACAAAAGGAAGTACTCCCATGTATTTGAAGAAAGTTAAACAAAAATTAAATTGCAATTAAATATAACACTTAAACAAATCAAAAGATGGATGAGCGTGTTTTAGGTAGTCATACCTGACTATAATTGGAGCGTATTGGTTCTAATTCAGCAGTAGGTGGTGCTGCTTCAATTTCTGCCAAAGAAGGATAATTGAGTTGAACAGTTGCCCACCTCAAGAAAGATCTAAGGTCCTTCTTGCTTATACTTCCAATTGGATTTATATCAGCCGAACTGCAGTCATACTTAAACATACATATAATTTTGTTAATGGCACATCAACTACTAAATAGTAAATATCTGAAATAATTTCCGTTACTGCACATTGAGCATAATTATCCAAATTCCTATGTATTTACATATCTAACACCGTTTTACATTTAAATCAGCCAAAATTTTCATATCACATAAAAAATACCACCATGTTGACTTTTAAAAGGTGAAATGCAACTTTTCATGCATAGTTAAGGTGGAATGTCTGTAACAATTAAAGTTTAGGTGTTGCATAAGTAAATAGAAAAGAATTGAGTTGTATGTATGTGAATCTTTATTTTATATTTAGTCATCATGTTACTTAAATAGTATTTAATACAAAATTTTAAATTGAAAAGAAAAGGCAATAAACACATTGAACAGACAATCGAAAAGAAACAGGTAAGTGATGTAGAAAAATAACACAAATAAAATATTTCAATTTCAAACATAAATTCATCCTTCAGCAATCTAAAGTTCCATGTCTTTCCAAGCCATCTCATAAAAAGGAAAAACTGAGTAATTGAAATACAGATTTTTTGAGCATTTCATAGATGTCAACATAAACTCACTTTTAAACATTTTGAATATTAAGAACCCGACCAGAAAGTCACAAAAAATAATGATTACCTTTGTTAGATAACCACGTAATGCTTCATCCACATTCGAGCTGCCCAATACGAGATAGAATCCAGATTTATTATTAACCCATGGCATTAGAGAGGCCATCATAAATGCTAGCACCATCCTAATTCGAGCTTGAATATTCTGCAACGCTAAATTTTCAGCATTTGATCCACCATCAACCTAATTTCAATAATACGTTTCAAAGTTGTTATTACAACATATAGCGTAGAGTAATTGCAACATATTTATGAGGGACATTTACATAAATGCCATCTAAGTCTTATGTATTTACATATCTAACACATATACTTTACTTTTTACATGTATACCACTCATATCTTTCATATCAAATAAAAATACCACCATTTTAACTTTTAAAAAGTGAAATATACCTTTCCATGCATAGGCAAAGTGGCGTGTATGTAAAAATTGAAGTTTAGGTGTTAGATATGTAAACATATAAGAATTGAATGGCATGTACATAAATCTTCCTATTTATTATTGCATTATGAAAAACTTGGGTTGGTGTTGCACCAAATAAAGAAAAGGAGATTTGTAATAGGTAAGGATGATTAATATGAAAATTATACATAACAATCCTAACCTAAAATGAACACAGTTTTCCATTGCTAAATTTAAATGTTTGGGACATGACAGCAAAGAAAAATCTAATCATAACTCCATCAAAGTAAACAGTAATATTAAAAGAACTAGATTCCTCCAGCAACTATGGTTGCCAACAAATAAGGTGCTAGAAAGCAACAAATAAAGTGAGGTGATACCAAAAAAAAAAAAAAAAATTAGAATTATTTCACTTAATAAACGGGGGGGGATACAAAAAAAAAAAAAAAGAATTATTTCACTTAATAAACATATTCAAAAGAATAAAGCAAAATTTACATATGAATTGATAATCTACACATCTAAAATTTACATATGTACCCCCCACCCCTCACTCAACACACGCGCACATATGCGTGCATGCACTCACACACCCAAAATCTAGTGTCAGCATTATTCACTTCAAAATTTGTAACATTCCGTATTAATTGGAACCGGCTAACGCCAGTTTAGCTGAACAAGCACCAATTCATAATGCTTTCAAAATTAGAAATGGATTATACAATTGGACAGTCATTTCTTTTCACTTGTCCAATGCTCGTCATGCCAGTCATAAACTAGGTGTTTTTGAAGTTTTATTGGGAAGTTAGTGGTTGTGTAGTTTGACATCTTCATTTACAAGAGTTTAGAGGAGGAATATTTGTAGCATTTGCAACAGTTTTTTGGAGTCTTTTGGATAAAGCAGTTCTATGGAAACCAAAAAAAAATTCATTTTCTCATTTTCTTACACCACAAACATACTTTTCTTGGATATATAGTTTCAACGCCTCCCCCTCCCCCCTCAACCCACAATCATTCACTCGAGTACGTCAGTATATGGGTTGAATCTTTCAACAAGAGATTTATCAAAAATTTCAACTCAATAATGACACCCTAAACGGAACTTATCAACTTTGACTAATTCTCTTCACGAGATAAAGCACAGGCTAGCTTTAAGACATAGAAGATATAACTTACTTAAGCTACTATTCTATCTCTTCTAAAGTTTCAGCTAAGTATTTGAAATAGAGTGTGATGTCTCAAATATAGAGATTGGAGTTATATTAAACCAAAAAGAACATATCATAACCTTCTTTAATGAAAGGTTGAATAGTTCCAGCAGAAAATAATTAACATACAATAAAGATTTTTATATTATTTTGAAAACTCTCAGTCACTGAATTCACTACTAAGTGGTAAATGAGTTCACTCTTTTCACTGATCATGAAGTCTTGAGATTCCTAAATGGTCAGAAAAAACTAAAAGTTAGAAATGCCTCCAAGGGGAATACTTGGCTTCATTACATTTGATGCACAAGCACAAGTCAATGAGCCATAACAATGTAGCTAAAGCACTGAGGTGACGTCACTTACTGATCAGTCACATATCGTTGAAGGTAATTAGATTTTAAGTATTCAAAGATACATATAAGAGCTTCCGTGAGATTTGGGATCACTGTCAAGATGATATGAGCAATTCCAAATATTATATGGCTATCTGTTCTACCAAAATAGATTACATATTCCTATTAAGTTCCTCGGGAATCCTATTTTACATAAATATAATAATAGCAAAATAGCAGATTTTGACAGAAAAAAGATTACTTGGTAAAAGGGAGTTTATACTTGCCAAATTTGGTATGGGATGTGAAAAAACATGTCAAACAGAGCAAGACATATCATCTAGCTAAGAGTCGAAGGAAAAATGCAGGTCTTTATACACCGTTACTTATTCTAAAATTTCCTTGGTCGGATTTGAGTATGGAATTCATTGTGAGTCTCCCATGAACCCTTCAAAGCAAGGATTCAACCATTAAAGTAATAGATCACCTCCAAGATGACACACTTTGTACATTGTCATAAGAAAATGGATGCTTCACAAATTTCAGATTTATATTTCAGATAGATAGTTCACCCAAATGAACCAATGGTGTGCTTAAGGCCATTACCTCAGATAGGGACATGAAGTTTGTGATTCAACAGCTCACCCTCAAAGCTTCAGTCGAGTTCAACAGCTCACCCTCAAATGGATGGATAAACCAAGGTGGTGAATCTCAGTTTAGCAACATACTCAAGTGTTTGTCCAACGAATACAGTTCCGCCAGTTAGTCCAACGAATACAGTTCCTTCAAGATTGCATATGGGAGGAACCCCTCACACGCCCATGAAGCAAGTGCCCATACTCCCCGCTATTGAGCATAACATTGATATCAAGGCTAGAGTCAGACCCTTAATGAGAAAGCGAGGAAACAAAATACCAAACATAACATCAAATGCCAAAAGTAGGATGCAAGTCCATAAGATCCCAAGTTTTGAAGGAAGGAAACTTACTATATACCAGGTTGAGTAAAGAGAGGCTCCCCACAAGTTCTTTTGGAAACCTCAAGCCACAGCCGATGCCCATCCAGAATTGTCAGAAAGATTAATGAAAATGCATACAAGATTGATCTGTCACCATACTATAAGGACAACTATGCTTCTAGTGAAGAAGGTGAGCTCTCTCCTACCCAGAGAGAATGAAGAAGGGTATCATGCGTCTGTCCTTTCAGGTGAGGCGAGGCGAGACCGAATTGGTCTAGGGAGGGACCAATTCAACATTTCCAGCCCCTATTGTTGGTTGACCCATTTAGGGGACATATTTACCTAATTAAGCTAATTTACTAGGGTTTCTTTTGCCTTGGGATATTTAAATATGTTGTGAGCTACTGCTTGGACTTTTATTTATTTATTTTTTTTACTTTGGTTTTATGCATTAGTACTCTCTGTAGATTTCTCTTGTTAAAGTGATGTATAATTGATCTTTCTCAAGTGATATGTTTGTAGCATGATCAGATTTAGGCGGTAATCTCTCTCGAATGTCTAAATACTTTTCTGTACCGTCACATCCGTTGCCTACTTGTTGTGTTTTACATCCAGCTAGCTGTCCAACCACTGGTTGCATCTATTTTATTTATCACGACCATTTTTCCTCTTCCTACTAATATTTGACCCACCCTTTAATCCCTTCCAACCCTTCTAGGAATCCTAAATTGATGTCATTCACTCAGGTGCTTAAGTGATTGGCTGGATCACCTTTAAAAACACTGGAAAAAGAGGATATAAATGTGTAGATGCTTGTATATAAGAAATAGCACAACAATTGGAAATAAAAACACACGAAAACCACAAAGTACCAAAGGACATATCAATATAGTAAAGGTATTAATTGTGCAATTTACATCATTCATTGCAAATGAATAATCTATTTGAGTAAAACCAAGGTTAAAAATCCAGTACAAAAGAACAGAGCCCTGGGAATGAGCCAATAAAATTGATAGCAAACAAGCTGAAAGGTATCAAGAAATAAAAAGTAATGCTTATGCAATCCAACAAATGATAACACCCAATGGTGCATAATAGTTTATAGTTGTATCCATAAATAAGTAAATAAAGGGTTATACCAGATTGATTACAGCCACCAAACGACATTATTTCAAACTCACAACTCACTAATCATTTATTCTGAAATTGAGAAGTTTTACAGGTAATTCTATTATTGCATCAAATAATTAAACATATTTCTAATAATCACAGATATGAATGCTAAAATAAGATGCAGAAGCCAAAATGAAGTACAGCAATAGTGGTGCATTACCTTGTAACGCGGTCTTCTCCCAGTTAGTGTTTGGAACAGCGAGAGGAGAGCAGAAATAACGGCGTCTAAATTCACATCAAGGTGCCAGGAACCTATCTCTTCCGCTAATTTCTTCGCTCTAGCTCTTGTAGCATCAGAGCTGAAAAGAATTATGAAAAAAAAAAAAAGAATCAAAGACAAAAAAATGAATCAAAGACAAAAAAATCATTCATTAAATTATGCACTTTATTAAAAGAACAGATGAGAGTCATGAGGCAAGAAAAAGACACCGGGGTATATTAGATGCAATACAAGCATAGGAAGGGATCTTAGAAATAGGATAGTTCATGAAAAACTTATGATGAGATTTATACCATGTTTTCTGAAAGAATAAATAAAAAAATGAGCATTCATAAAGTCGAAATCAAATAGTTGGATATGGGTGCTATGGTGATAACATACACGCCTAGGAATAAATAATTTGTGTAGAAATCATGCAACATTGAAATGGTAAATCATGACCACAAATCAACTATACTCATTCTATGCAATAAATAGTAATAGGATATCAAATTCATTAACCATAACAACAAATAGACAACAATTAGGAATGCTCCGAGCATAGGAACAAGGGACTCTAGTGAATAACTCAGATAATGAAATATAATTTTGATTTAGAAATACCTGAAAATGAATGTATGCATAATTTCTCGACAGACTTCTTAGCTAAAGGGCACATGACACTTCACTTATGTTCCTTTACGGTTAGCATTTTGATACAGAGAGATACAAGTCATCAATCTACCAAATATTGCTAGTACAAATAGTTACAGAAAGGTATATGAATAGAATAGGTGTACCGCTTTTAGTATATGAATAAAATAGATGTACCGCTTTCAGTAGCCCAGGACAGGAATAAATAAGATACATAAAGCAAACTAAAAAATTTGGGAAATTTTGTTGGATACAATAAAAATTATTCTGGTATTTTTTTTTAAATTGTAAGTTTGCAATATGAACCAATTTTAAACCTATATAAAGATACCTAATGAATTTCATGACGTGAAATTTGGATGCTGAACATGAATGAGAATTCCTCCGATAGATGATGCTTTGTCCCCATTGCAAGGTTTAAAAGATTATCGTGGAAGCCCGCATAATTAAACTTCTAAATCCTTCCTTTTATTTGCATACAATCTTCATAGAGCAGCAGCGACTTCCACAAAATTACCACGGCAAGTTGAACAATAGACAAGTCATCACAGTAAGACTATATAGATCCGAAACTATAACCTTAATCAAAAGTTCTCTATTTTAAATGAGAGGGTTAATTAGCTATGAGGGCCTATGCTCATGAAAAGCCTAAATATATACATTGATTTTATCAAATGAGAGCTAAATTTCTTGGTAGTGCTCTCTATTAATTAATCTGCCATAAAGTTTTCATAGTGCACAGATGAATACAAACACAATTTGCTAATCTCTACGGAGACCTTTTCGCCATTCTATTTGCAAGGCATTCTAAAAAAAGTAATATACTTTCAAACAATTAGGGCTTGTTTGGGATCTTTTTTTTATTTTTTTATTTTGTTTGTAAAAGTATGTTTGCTTTGTGTATTTTCTAATGCTTTATTTATTGTATCTAAAAATAAATTAACATGTTTTTGAAACACTTATAATAACTTTTAGGTGTTTTGAGTGTTTTTAAAAACAACCATATCTTAATCAATTATGTTAAACATGTTTTGTTTCAAATCAAAACATAAACAAAAAAATAAAATAAAAAAATGATCCCAAATGACCACATAGGTTTCAATTATTGATGCAGGGCATCTGAAAGCAAGCGGAACGCCTAATTGCCTGAACCAGTTCGGTCCAAGCTTTTCCTTGTTGTGGAGTGTTGGTCAGTCCCTTGGGGCCACAAATATTTATTTTATTATTTTAAATTTGCTTTCATGAGCTATTAGGGTTAGTTTTTATCGTGTGTTTGTTCGGTACAACCGTCGGCATATATGTTTTCCCATTTAGGGTTGTATCCAAGGTCGAGTGATATTCTAACTATATCTTGCTCCCTGAGTGGTGATTATCATTCTCCCAACACTTCCCCATCCTTCCTACATCTTTAATCTTCGCCTTGTTAAAGCAATCCCGAATAGCAGGCCTTGGTTGTTTTTCTACAGTTTCCCACCTTTCAGCTAGGACGATAAAAAAAACTTGTTGATCGGAAAATATTAATTTATCTAATTTTTAAGTGATCTCTAAAAGGTTTATTTCTCCACTTCAATACACCATCAATCTTTTAACAATCTCAATAGCATTCTTTCAAACTTCCTAATTGAAAAAAACATAATAGCATTAATTTATCTAATTATATCATTAATTCGAATAATACTATAAGCCTTAACATTTACCTAATAGGCTTTCAGATTGATCTCCTCCCTAACTCGCACGCAAAGTCTTATTGCTAGCCTCCCTGCCTCAATTAACCTAGTTTAACATGAAAATATTAAATATATATATCAATTTAATGTATATAAAATTTTAATAAACAAATCTAACACAAAAATTTACCTTAACTTACAACTTAAGGTTTCAATAGGTTTGGGCTCTCCACTTCACGCTCACGATTCTTCCTCTTCCCTAGCTAGTACACTTTTCTTTCATGTGCGAAATTATTACTTTTTTATTCAAGACTTACGTTCCTTGATTTAAGATATTTGTAGTAAATTAATAAACATTAACTTTAATACTTATAACATTATACAAAACTAATAATGTTTCAATAAAATTTCTAAATCATACCTCCTCAAGGCTCAGTTTGGCCTTTTACCCACACCACGCGCTTCCTCTCCCACTCAGAAAAAAAATATTACATCAGGCGTCTTGAAGTGGTTTCATGTGCGGATGGTAGTATTTAGGTGTTATTTTACCAAAATAACAGCACAATACTACCAATAGCAACTCCAATAACACCATCCACACCTAATCCAGATGTAGGTCATCTATATGTAATATTTTTTCCCAACTCAGTCGTTCAAACCCGCACGCAAGAGTTGCTAGGCTCAACGAGAAGGTATTAGAGCGGCGTCGAACCTCCTCCCGCACATAGACTCAGCTCCCTTCTTCCTCTCCCTCACACAATCAGCGTCGAACCTCCTCTCGCAAGCACTCACACAGCTCGTCGAAGCCCAAGTAGTGTTTTGCTTCCTCTCCTTCACCTACGACTAGGGCATGAGCTTCCTTTTCATAGAACGACGCTGAACTTAAGGACGATCCGCTCCTTCCTTCGGCAAGGGTTGATCTTCTCACACTTAGAAACAATCAAAGTTGCTTCGTCACCTTCTCCTGATCATCAACTTCTCCTCCCTCGGCTTCGTTCCTCAGAAGTAAATCTTCCTCTTCTTCTGTTATTGCTTCTCTTTCTCCTTCTGCCGTTATTTCTTCTCCTTCCTTCTTTTGTCCTTCTCACTATCCATGTCTTTCTCTTTCTCTCACTCTCTCTTGGTTTAAGTTATAACTGAAGAGGTACTTTCCATTCAATTATAGACACTTTCTTTTTTTACGGATATTACACGCCCTTATTGTAGTCGCCCTGAACAGCAGCCCTTAGCTCTTTTCCTGCAGTTTCCCACCTTCCAGCCTCCTGTCCTCGCTAACGCCAAGTCGGACAGCCATCCTTTTGCATTCTTGCAGTCCACTGCATCCCTTGTAGTTGCCTCCGTCATTTTCCATCCCTGCCACCACCCAAATTGCCATTATCTGCTGTTTTCCTTGATGTCAAGCCATCTTTCTTGTTGCCGTCACCTAGGATAGCAACCACACTTGTTGTTCCTACAACTTCGTACTTCCCTGACGCTGCTAACAACATCCTTTTGCTACCTCCACACCTTCCAGCCCATTAACAACCCTTTGCTACCTCTTAGAAAGTCCAAACCCACACAATTCACCACCACCATCCCCAAGATCCACCCTAATTTGAGTTTGCTTTCTCAATTATTGCAATTTCATATTTCCGTTTTGTTGGGTTGTAATTTTCTATTTGATTTCAATAATAATATTTACTTTTCCACTTATTTTTGGTTCACTTTGGTATCAATTATGTAGAGAATTTTTCACTTATTTTGCTAATTAAGTTGGTTCTTTAGAAAAGTATTTTACCCTATCAATTCTAGTGTTATATTTAGTGAAACAAGCTAAAATGGATGATGATTAAAAATGAAGGTTTTATCCATGGATGTCCCTGCTTTATTCCAAGTGTGAAGTTAAAAGGAAATGATGGAATTAAGCCCAACCAATTTGTTCTTTTATTAACTTTCAATAAATTTTATCGATATCATTAGTTTGGCCACACCAGGTTGTCTTACATCATATTTAAAATTTAAACCAAATTAACAGAACCAAAATTTACCGCATTATAGATGAAGCAAGTGAGCAAAACCAGCCCTTCAAATTTCCAATAACCAATCTCTTGTATGTAAACTTATTTATATAAACATTTTATCAAGTGTCTTAACTCATCATAATGTTAAAATTAATCATGCACTAATAAAAAACTAGCCAAGCATATATTTATATAATTAAAAAAGGAGTATTTACATCATACCACCCAATTCATATGCATTAACATATAAATTTTGTTTTTTACATTGATACCACCCAAATCTTTCATATCAAATCAAAAAAACCATTTTTTAACTTTTAAATGTGAAATACACCTTTTCAAGCTTATGAAAGGAGGTATATAAGTAAAAAATTTAACTTTCGGTGTTAGATAAGTAAATAAATAGGAAATAATTGGAATGTAAGTAAAACTTCCTTAAAAAAATAGTTCACCAATCCTACTGCACATGAACAAAAATCGAAAGAACATTTGGTGCAATCATTCATAAACACAAGCACTGACAAATATTTGCATTATAAGTTTGCAAAAAGTACAAAAAGTAGTCACAAAATATAAGATATAACAATGTTTGAACATATCTATAGTTTAAAAAAAATTACTAACTTCTTTGAAACTTAAAAGCATGTAGGACAGATGTCATGCAGTACCAGGAAATATTTTGCCAAGCACCAACACAAGCAACATAAAAAAAATCAAAAAAAGAATTGGAAGATAGCAAATAGCAAATAGCAAAGAAAATAAAAAGTTGAGTTGTGAATGTTGAAATACATAGAAATCCAGAAATTCAACGCTCTACCTATTTTCAGTTCCCATATAGACAGTGTAGAATATTCTCTTTGCAAATTCCTTACTGCTGCTTGGAAACTCTCCATTTTTGTAATTGCCAACCCTTAATGCATCAGCTTTGACTTGTTCATCACCATTCTCTATATCTACAAGTATCCAAGAAGCATATTCTAACATTCATAACAAATTGAAATAAAAGTACAGCATAAAATCTAATTTATGACAGAAACCTCGACTGAGGGCTATGCATATCCAGTAAAAGTTGTCATATTTAGTCAGAAATACATCAAAGTTCTTTGCCCTTTCTCTACCAACAGGTTCATCCAATGATAAAAAGCTTCAAATCTTGCTACTTCAAATTTTGATTCTTAATTTATTTGAGCCCCATTTCTGACTTGAGCCATAGTTTTGACTTCTAACAACTTAACCTGCTGATAGGTCATAATGGCCAAAGAAATTTAGCCCTTTAATAAACCTAACAAAAATTAGCCCCATTTCTGACTTGAGCCATAGTTTGGGGAACAAACATGAAAGTTTAAATACTTATCACACAATTCTTATGTATTTACATATTTCACACCTAAAATTTCATATTTACATGGATAGCACTTCGGTTCTTTAAACCTATACGTGAAACGGTGCATTCACATCTAAAAAGTGGTAATCCTGCTATTTTCGATATGATATTAAAGATTTTAGCACCACGTATGTAAATATGAGAGTTTAGGTGTGAGAGATAAAAAAATACACAAGAATTGTGTGCAATATACGTAAATACCCCTCCCCCTCCTCCCAAAAAAAAAAAAAAAAAAAAAAAAAAAAAAAAAAAAAAAAAAAAGAGAAAATTGATCACAAGCTGGCACATGCAACCTACAATAGCTGCAACAGCAGAACTATCAGCTCCTCCAGAAAGCGGAAGTAAGAATCCAGAAGCTCCACTTCTTCTTAGATAATCCCATAGCCAGCAACTAGGCCCAAATGCTATTTCCTCCTCAGGACGGTGATACTTAATCTGTCAAAAAAATTCCATTAAAAATTATTGCTCAACATTTATTCAATAAATAATTATACAAAGCAAAAGTTTCCACAGATGAATTTTAGATTTATGCTCAGTAATCAAAATGAATGAAGTTCTAAATTTAACCTAAGATTCCTGCTTTTATGAAAATAACGGCAGCCATCATGTGCTTATGATTACTTTATCATGGACATGATTCTTTGTTAGCTTTGCAAGCAATAAAACAATCAACTCAAGGAATTACAATATAACATATACACAAAAGTGTAATCATTAAAAATAATTTTTTACAACCTATACACTTTTGAATCATAATCCTGTCTATTTCCACTTCATATTTTTTCATGATCGGTTTTACAAACTTGCATTATCAGTGCACCAGAAGAATGAAAAAAAAGGGCACCACAGCCTGTTAATTGATTCCTACGAAACAGGTAAACCTCTTGTTTCTACCTGAATACACCGCCTTTCATAATATATTGTGTTTACACCAAAGAGCTAGTGGTTGCCTGTTTAGTCTCCTTCAATTCTGCGTTTGACCTCCATTTGTAGAATCCTTTTCACCCTCCATTTATAGTAGATTTAGGCTAGGGTAGTGGAATTCACATTTCTGTGCGCCTTAAGCAAATATCCCAAGCACAAAAATAATTAAAGAATTTGAAGCACTACTTGTACTGATAACAGCATAAATTCATTCAAAAGTACATGCAATTATCTTGCAAGAAAGCCGGTATCAATTTAGATGATTGACGCAGGAGCTGAGCCCACTATTCTGCAGCTCCGCTAGATTGCTGGATTCTGTAATACTGGAGAATCAGGAGAACCAACCATTGCAGGAGGGCCCAACCAGGCAATTCATGTCCAATTGGCAAATTCAGCGGGAGCTCATTCCTTTTCTGACTAATTTCCAATCTATTTATTTCTAGTTATGGTTATATTCTATTAGGAATCCCCCTATGTGTTATGTTTTTCTGTTTTGAGAGCTTATCATATCATTTTACAAGTGACGTGTTTATAGCTTGTTCAGAAACAAGTGGCGAACCTCCTACTATTTCATGGTTCTCTTTGTTGTTTTAAACCCAAACAGTGTTGAACGGCTTCAATCCCCTTCCAAATGTCGTCAATCTTACATATTATCATTCCCTTACTATCAATGATTTAAATTTTCCTCCAATGGTACGAGGTCAGTCTGAGTTATACATCTATTTGATATTTTCTTGTAGTAGTTAATGAGAAAATTGAGTTTTTCCTCTAAGAATGTTCCTCCTAAACTGCACATGATATTAGAGCTTGGAAAAAAAATCCTAGCTCTCCTTCCTCCGCCAAAGACTCTCGCTACAACCGCCAGTTCCTGCAAGCCCTCCGTCGAATTATATCCTGGTTAACACCTCCATGTCGGCGCTCCATCTCTGCAGGCATTACTACCCTACCGAATCCAAGCGTTCATTCTCTGCTGGCATTACTCATCTATCAAGTCCAGGAGCTCCTCTTTGCAGGCATTGCTCCCGCTTCCAAGCCGTCGATCTCTTCTCTAACAAGAATCCTAAGAATTTTATTTCTCCAGTGGAAATCTCGGATTAAGTATTTGTCAAGCAGATTTTTTCTTTCAAGTGAAAATCCTAAACAGTCCGTCTCTTCGGAAGAAATTTTGTCCTACCTTCTGACACATTAATCCTTATCTAATTTGGAGCTTTCTCTCACCACCTCTAGTATTCATTGTTTTCTCCAAGGTTGTCATTTGCTCCTACATTTTTATCCATCCCTACTTGTCAGGTGCCTCAAATTAGTGAAGTGATTGGTGTTAAACTACTTTAACTTTTGACGAATCCCTTCAGATGCAGGTACTCAGCCTCCTAGGGATGCTTCTCCCTCTTCTTTTATTGATAGCATTAGGGGAAAGGGCTCCTCTCGATCAATCTAGGCTCCCAACTCATCTTTATTCTTTCAACATGATAAAAATACTACTTGCCACAAGTTGGCTACCTTCTGACACATTATCATGAACAAATATGACATGAAAGCTATTTCTTCCTCTTCAAAAGTTACTTACTGAACCAGAACCTAGAATTTTTGGTTCTACAGCATCTGAAATCTCTTCATGCATCACCAATTACAAACATGACAACAATTTCCTCCAATTGTCTCAATTTGTATTCATATACATAAGTAGTAAAGGAATAAAAAGATGATCATTTCACTAAAGAAAATCTTGTACCAAAAATTATTGATCTTAAACATCAGATATGCAAGATTGAAAATCACAGTCATGTCATGGCTTGTCAACTACATGACCACAAAAATTGAAGAAAACTTCCTCCTATACAAAACGACAAATGAAATATGAGAAGTCATAAGGAAAACCTAGTAAAGTGTTGACAACACATCTGAGTTGTTTGACATTAAAACTAGACTACATGATTGTACAAGGATGAGTACGAAGGGAAGAGAACAGAAAAAAAACTCATGCTGACAGTTTATCCCACTACATCAAATGTTGACAACTCTGCTTTATACACTCATAAATCATCTCAAGACAACAAATCAAACTATGGTGTGAACATTGCAAGAAGCTTAGTCATCTGAAAGAGAAGTGTTGGAAAATTTATGAAAAGTCTACAAATTGGAAGCCCAACTAAGTCAAAGTTGATGGAAAAAATCAAGCAAACACAGCACAAAGGAAAACAAGCCTCATGAACATAGTACATTCAGCAAGGAACAACTTAAAGCTCTCCAAAAGCTTTTGGCACAAAATTTTGAGCATTCTAACAGCCTTCTAGCACATCAAAGTAGTCTTTCATATGATCTTGTTGCTCTCAACAGGAAGAACAGGCCTTGGATAGTGGACTCTAGAGCATATAATCACATGACAGGTGATATCAATGTTTTTCAATCCTATTTTCGCACACATCATGTAGCAATTAGAACTGCAAATGGCTCTCTCATTTGTGGAAGGAAGAAGAGGTGTGAAACTCACAAAGGATATTATACTTCAATCTTTGTTTTATGTTACTAAACTTAACCACAATTTATTGTTTATCAATAAAATTACTCGTGACATGAACTATGTTACTAACTTCTACACTAATTTGTATGAATTTCAGGTGATGAACTTGGAAAAAAATGATTGTCAGTATTGACATGTACCATGAACTTTATCTGCTCACTAGGACTCCAACTTCAAAAGAACCACCCCACCATTAAAAAACCATTGAGTCATGTATTTGAATATATTTCTCATCACAGTCGAGTTATGCTATTGAATTTTTATCTTGAGCATCCCAATTTATATCCTCATTTGTTTATCAATAAAAAATATAGTTATTATCAATGTGAAGTTTGTTAACTCGCTAAACATACTTGATAAGAGTACACAAGCTTGGAACACAAAGCAACGCATCCCTTCTCCATGGTTTATAGTGATATCTAGGAGCTCTCAAAAATAAAAAATGCAAATGGGCCTAGCTAGTTGATGCGGGGGACGGGACGGGGGAAGCGAGGCAAAGGGGGGTCGGCCGGCCCAATTGCTTGGGTCAAGATTGTCGCCACAGTATTCATAGTCATCTACTATTGTTGACCTCGCTTTTGGTCAAGGTGTAGCTTTCCCCTCCTTAGTAGTCTAGGATTTAGTCGTAGGACCTTTTTGTCGACTATTGCTAGAAAACTAGTGAAGGAGCCCTCTCCGTTAGCAATTCTGGAATTCTCTTTGCTCGACTTGACGTTCCATGTAGTAATCTTGACCGCTATTGTTTGGCAGGTAGGGCTACTCCGAAGTAACTCAGGGAGCATTCCTATAGAACTGATAGCCTTAGGATTGACTCTACTCGTTGAGTTGGCGCCGCTGCGCTCTCCGCCGTCTTGTTTAATCGAATTCGAGCCGAAATTTTGACAGAATTCGGACTGCGACGCGTTTTGGTCCCAATCGTCGACAAAGTTGCCCGGACGACTCCGGATGACGAAACGGACTGTGCCGACGCGTCCGGAACGTCGATTTTGCTTAAGAAGGACTCGTTTCATTACGATGGCGCGTCTTGGGGAAAATACCTATTTAAGTGTTTATTATAATAATAAATAATATATTATTATTACTATTATTATTATAATTAATAACTTATATTAAAATCGTTAACCAAAATTTCTTTCCGCTCCTCGCCTCATTCCTTCGAACCCGTGGGCCTGCCTTAGCCCTAGGACGGCTCGTTCAGTCGCTCGGCCCACTCCTTCGTGCCGTTGGAGAGGCTTCGCTCCTGCGTTAGCCTCTTGCACGCGGGATAGAGCACGTAGACGCCCATCCCTCGTATCCTATCTTCTGCGAAATGGAATTGATCTCCTCTGTTGCGGATCGTATCCTCTGCGAGGATCTAATCCTCTGCATCTCTCGATCCCTCGGTCGTATCTTCTTAATCATTCGTCTCCTTTGCCCTCAGTGTATATGAGAGCTCCTCTGTGAAGCTTCAGGGGGCTGAAAATCTTTCTAAGGGAGAAAACTCTGCTCTTTTTCTTTCTCACTCAGTTCTTTGATCTTCTAGTGCTTGAATTGGTTTCCTCCTGCTGTTGCGAGAGGAAGTGAAGTTCTAGAGTGCTTTTAAAGTTTCTGTGTTACCTTCTTTTTCCTTCAAAGAGGTACCTTCTTCCCTCTCCTCCTGTGCGCTGTCTGCGTTCGGCCTGTTGACCTCATTTTTAGTGAGGTCTTAGCCTCCTAATCTTAGAACCTAGGATCTAGCTTTAGGAGTTCTTATTGACTATCCTAGCGGACTAGCAATGGAACCCACCTCCCGTAGAACTTCAAACCACTTCTTGACTCATTTTTGTGAAGAACTCGCATAAGTGGTTCCAAGCACTCAACTTCTAGTTGTAAGGGCTAAG